GAACCCCCTTTGGTGGGAAGGTAACAGCATTCCGTGCGTTTTCGACATTTAGTCATGCTGGCCACATGACCATGGAGACGTCTCCAGACAGCGCTGGCTCTTTGGCTTTGAAACAGAGATGAGCAGAGCCCCCTAGAGGTGGTAATGACTAGCACATATGTGCAAGGGGAACCTTTACCTTTAAACCTTCTATACCAGTTGTTCTTCCCAATCTATTTTCTAGGAATATTAAGAATGTAACTATGAACATCTCCAATAATTAATAACTAAGATAGTTATAAAAGATTTATCAGTGCTATAGGTACCAATTGGTGAATGCGAATGCACAATTTACTTTTTTATACTGTTGGAATTGTGTTCATGTTCCATAACAAAAAGGTGAATTTTATGCTCCCATTTCTCTACAGTTTCCGTAGCTGAAAATTAAGAATTCCTAAATTAAATCCCTAAAGCAGGACATAAGGGATTTTAACTAAAACTATTGAAAGTAAATTAATAAAACAAGTAAACTTGGTCGTCTTGCTCCAAGGCATTTTAGCATAAACATAGACTGCTAGTAGCCTGCTTCAAACAGGACTAAATTCACCATAATCCCATAAATCTCTTTCACTGCTACTGTGTCTTTTTAATTGAGCAATCAAGACACTTGATTAGGAATAGATTTTTCTGCTGTTTACTAAACCAAGAACTCTAATGAGCCTGCAAGAATTGTAACAAGTACAGGCAAGCCAGGATAACCAACTAACAATACAAAATCAGAAACATACTTAATAAATTACTAATAACAATTTCTATATAAGAATTATATAAAATTATGGACAGGAAGTGGGATAAGCATGGCAGCCATGAGTATTTTCTTGACAAGAATCTCACTCCTAATACAAAGAAGGAGCAGCAGTGTTGTAAGAGTTTGGAAGGCCTGGTCTGTCTTCCCAAACAAAATGTATAGTCAAAAAGCAATATGTTTTGATCCAAAAAGTCCCTCAGGAACTTCAAATAAAATATTGGGCAGTATTGATAATGTTCCAATTTACATATGTATTTAGTTTCTGGTTATATACTTCCCATTAGTTATGCACCCATTAGAATAAATGTCAGAGACTTTCAGAGATAACACCATGAATTATGTCAGTAATCTGGCAAGAGCTACAAAAGGTAACTTTGAAGTATTAGTTGATTTTTTTTTCTCAGCATGTTCAAGAACAAGAAGTCTGGAAAACAAGCTCTATATATGTGGAGACTGGAAGTTCTATTCTGGTTCAGGGATCCCAACCCCCGGTCCATAGACTGGCACCAGGCTGCAGCATGTCAGCAACCGGGCCACGCAAACAAGCAAAGCCCCATCTGTGAGATGGAGGCAGTACACAAAGCCACGCCCTCTCTGGTCCACAGAAAAATCTTTCTCCCTGGAACTGGCCCCTGGTTCTCATAAGATTGGGGGCTACTGTTCTACCTTATGTTTTTGAAGATTAACTGTTTATCTAGTTCAACAAATGGGTGGAGTACACCAATGCTTTTTAAATCCAAAATGCTAATGTTGAAATCTTCAGATAATTTACGTAAGCAAATAATCAATTATAAAGTCTCGTTCTGAATTAGAATTTGTTTTCCCAATGCAGGATACTGCATATAGATGTGGGCAGGGAACAGATGTTATCTAATTTTAAATCCTTGCAAACTCTTTAAATTCTACAGAGATAAAACAAGCAGAACTTCAGAATATGTACACCTGCTTAAGTAAATGTATGTATGCTTACATATATGTTCCAGGATACATTTATTCCCTGTAATTAATATAGTTCTTTAAATTGGATAAGAATGGGAAAAAGAGATAAATTTGCAGAAATAGAAGGAAAGCGCCAATGGAAGGGAATATATGTAGCTCAGGACTGAACAATGGAGTAATTGGTGCTCTCTGACTTTGGTTGTTTGCTTGCAGAGCTTTCATTACCAGACTAGGTAACATTTCACTGTTAAAAAAAAGAGAGTTTGCTTCTTTGTTTATATACAGTAGCTTACCCTGTCAATGCTGGTGAGGGAGAGAGGTTATGATGAAAACTCCTTGGTTTCACAACAATGGACAAATTTCAACCATAGTTTCAACTGGAAAACGTCCTAGATCAAGCTAAATACAAAAAGGCTAGGGATTTCCTGAAAGCCTAGCATTCAGACAAATTAGCCATCAACAAGCACATAGAGATAAACGACATTTACACACCATTCAAAAGAGAGACCACAAAAAAAAAGGTAAAAGCGAGAACATCTCACCAGCAAACAATACTCAGATAAGCAGAGATTAACACCAGGGTTAATACCAAACAAAAAGCAAACAGTAAATAACAGCCTATCAAGGAACTACCAAGAAAGAAAACAACACCCCTATCAATGCTGACAGGAAAATCTACAGTCCTGTATGTAAAGTTAGAGCAAACCCTACTCCTTTCTAGCATTGAAGGAAAGAAAGATTTTGACTTAGACAATATGTTAAAAGGTCTCAACAGGCTGATATATGAAAAGATCAATTTTCCAGCAACTATATCACAGACTTGAAGTGAAAGGCATAAGCATTTTGCTAAGTTATTTGACCACTATTTATTTACTAAATCAAAGTTGATGAACTTGTACAAGATACCGCACCATAAACTGCAATGTGTGAGTCACAGTGGCTGGATTAAACATTATTGTAAGCTATTAACAAACTGCATTGTTTGTCATGTATTATATGGGACCAAAAAATATTGAAGTAGCTAGCTGTAGCAAAGAAACAATGAAAAGGTTCCCCTATCAGGCTAAGAAATAGCATACTTTGTTTAGCTTCTAGGTATTTATTACCCATCTCAAACATATGACTTTGGGTGGCTAATAGGGAATAAAAACATAATTAAAGAGTATGTTGTGCAAATGCAGCTATTGGAATTAATGAACCAGACAGCTATAGCTTACTTAAACATGTTGAACAATATCTTATTCTTCACCCATGTTTATCTATGTTAAGCATTTACAGTAAAAAGGACTAGGATGATTGACATTTTCTTAGGTATTATTTGCTTATTGAGATTTGAATCAAACTGCAAAATAACTCAATTTACTGCAGAGATTATGATCAAGAGAGTCAGTCCTTATTCCATCTGCTTTCCACGTGGATGGAATACTACCCTTCCAATAACAGTTTGCTGAAAATGGAAGACATCAGCAATAGTGATCAAATGGTTCACAACATACAGTAAAACAGAAGACTCTTGGTGCTTTATCTGATATTAACTTACAAATGCCTTATTGAGCTGCAATAGATTATCTCTTAATGTTGCAGAAGTAAAACAGAATCATCCATCTGTGGACTGCTGATAGCAGCAGCTAAGAAGGTGTTAGGTTTGATATTGCAACATTATTGAATACTGAAGAAAAAAAGTCAAATGGAAGATCATTTCCCAGACAGCTGATGCTGCCTGGAAAAGCTTCTTGTGGAGAAGCATTGGACATCTAAATTAACACATAGTATAGAGAGAAAGAATCTATTCAATATTTTTTTTTTGCTAGTAATTGCATTAACCTGGAATCAATCCTGCTATTGAATTGGTTTAGTGCAATATGAGAACCTAGTCACTTTTTTCTTTAATCTGTTTTCCATTTAATACTATTCTTAAGGTGACCAGATTTTCAGATTGGTAAAGAGGGACATCTTTGACCGGGGGGGGNCCCTAGTGCCTGTTGTAACACCACCTGCATTTTTATCAATCAATGAGAATAGAGCTGGAAGGGATCTTGGAGGTCTTCTAGTCCAACCTGTTCAAGAAGGAGAGCCTGTACCATTTCAGATAGGTGGCTGTCCAGTCTTTTCTTAAAAACATCTGGTGATGGAGATTTATTTGGTAATTTATTATAATTATAATGTGTTTAATGTCAAATGTTCCCTCAGTAATTGACATAAAAGAATAACAAAAGGAATGACTATAACCCCAGTTTAGAAAAATCAAAGAGTTGACAAATGAAGCTTTTGTTCTTTTATCAACTGGAAAGATGATATGTGACCATATGATATGCAAACAATGTATATTTATTTAGCGTGAATCTAGCAAGATGCCCTTTACCTATCCATGATAGAACAAGTTATCCAGAGAAAGTGACAGAAACAAGTCCAAGAAGTTCTTAAGTTCACCCATAAAAATGTGGTCAAACTTCAGTCCATACAAGTACTTAAGTATTGCCAAGATGGAAGAAGAATTGGTCTCAGGTTGTGCAAAGTGTAATGAAGATGCTAAAGATGTATGAATACCATTTGCTACCTTCACTTTTAAGTTAAGATGTGATATTTCAGGATACCTTACAATCATTGTGATGCACCTGGTAGGAAAATACGCATAAGGAGAAAGAATATGCTTCATTACCCTGACAACAGCAGAAACTGGACAAATGTCATGGCTAGATGGTACCATCTAGTGGTCATAATTGCTTGAGAAGAGGAACCAGTGCAATGAAAATGCTCCTAGCAAAATGAAAATGCCATGTCGATGAATAATATGAATTGAATCAGCCTGGGTAATGTTTATCTGTCTCTCTATTGAAAAATGGTTTTCTGATGCAGTGGGTTGCAACTATAGAGCCCTGGATTTCAG